ACGCACGCGCGTGGACCCAGGCCCTGAGCTCCTGTACTCGGTCGTGATTTTCAAGGTAAGTTCGCGAGTAATTATTCACAAAGTTCTGGACAGTCTTTAAGGGAGGGAGATCCTCAAGAGGCGTCGAGAACTTTCGAGCTAGAGCGTGGCGAATACGCATAGGTCGGAGGTGCTCATCAGCGAGCTCGCGGCAGTAGATCTTCTGCGTAGTAGTGAGCTTCTTGCTCTTTGGAGAGGATGCACGGGTGTTGTGAGCTCCATACTCGAAAATAGATACGTGCGCTGTCTCCAGGCACGTAACGATCTTTCCTCGCCACTCGCAGTCTAACTCACTAGCTTCGCAGCAAAGGCCGGAGCTGCATGTAAGTAGGCGGTAACGCATCTTGTGCTCTGCGTCAATACACATGCTGCATGCCATCGTCTGACTCTTCTGGATCTCGAACGCCTTCATCGTCTCCATCACAGCGTCGGCCGCGGCAGCGTCAATGCCGACGGCCCTCTCCTCCCACGGCACACGCTTCGGCATGGCCACACTCGCCGAACAGGAGCTCTGCGAGTGACGTCCAGCAGCTTTAAACCTATGTGGGCCACATTCGCCACATATCTGCACGGCCACCGCTGATAGGCCAGCGAAGACCCAAGCTCACCTTGTCTGCGCGCTTCCTGCAGCGAGCAGAGCCGAAACCACTTATTGTGTTACTACAGCACTCTTCTGTGCTGACACATTCTGACGGTGTTTTAAGTAATTCACGGTGCCATGATGGTACTGTTTTGTGCAATTACAGCGTGCTCCCCACACAGCAATGCTGTACGACGACGCTACCGTTCGACGGGTTCTCCGTGCAGCTCACGAAGGCCAAGATTGGCGCGATGTCGCGCCATCGTCAAGCTATTCTACGCGTCCCACCGCACCTCACCATCAAGGCGCACCGTGAAAGCTACCTAAAGCTGGCTGCAGACCTCCTCGTACTCGAAGCTATCACCCCAGAACTTTGCTACAAGTGCTCGTTGCACACCATGAAGTTCCATGCGCGTGCGATCCAGATGAAAGATATGCCTGTAGGAGAATAAAGACAATATCAAGAATAAAGACAATATCAAGTTTGGCTTTGCTGGCTCCTATGTTCGATGTCACTTTGAACTTACGTTTTGTCACTTTGATTTTACCTGTCGCCATTTTGAAGTTGAAAAGGTGTAGAGAGGAGAGGTGCGACTGGACGGACAATCAGCGGTAGGTGAACTGGTGGCA